CGGAGGAAAATTCCGTGTTGCCTAGACCACGGCCTTGCCCAACACAAGTTATAAATTCGGGCACCGCCGGGAATCGAACCCGAGACCCCAGGATTACAAGGCCAGCGTTCTAACCGCTAGACCACCGTGGGACCCTCAAAGCAGGTAAGGTAACATAACTCGACGCTGAGCGTCACACAGCTTGAAGCGCGAAATATATTTTAATTTGAATATTCCTTAATTGTAATCGCAACAGCTGACAAATTACTGTCTTTTTTATAATCCCCTACAGCCGACTTTTTATAAATTTTCCGGCGGTAAAGTTTTATCCAAAAACCAAGTCTGTATAAAATGAGAACGTGATTTCTCACTGACGTTTTTTTTTGGGCCAAAAAAATCTCACTTTTCTCGCCTTGTCGTGATGATCCTACTTTATTTTTCCACAACCACGCGCCAGCTTATTGCATTCGGCTATACTTCTTCACACGACCTCACAGTTTCGAAGCTGAAACATCATCGCGTGGAGTACAAACGAACCCAAATCCATATGAAAGTCTTCACATCTCTGCCTTTGAAACTCTTCCACGTGGTGACGCTTCAATAATTTACTGCCGACTCTCTCTGCATGTATAAAATGCATTAATATTCTTGACACTTCGTTATACACTGCACGTGTTAAACCTGTAAAGCAGAATTCTAAGTAAATCATCAAAATACTTAAGAGTTATGTTATCAGCAACTGTATTGAAATTCGAAATAGTTTTAAGAGTTTAAATTCTGCAAATTAAAACGCCGGTAATTTCCCCATACATCTAAAAACTAATTAGACAACTAATAAATAAATTATAAAAGTTATATTTCGTTGATGAGAGTCTCTTAAATACCATTTTAACAAACGTTTTGTGAAATATCTAGTCACATATCAAACCTTTTTTATCTATAATTTATTTACAGATGCCTTCTCAACTGTGCTACTTAAATACGTTCTGAAGATGGTTGTCTTCTGCGTCGTAACACCGTGTACTCTGGTACAAATCTTCACCAACGTTTCAGAAGTACTTGTTTTCCCGATCTTAATGGCGATCGGCATTGTAATAATCGATAAAATAGAACATGGAAGAAATTGTCAGCGATTTATATCGATATATGAATCGAGGAATTGAAAAGTCGGACCGGAAATCGAATCCTAGACCTGCGTGACAAAAGATGGAGGAAAGTCCCCAACCAGCTGCTACGTCTCCAAGTTCTTGTCTGTTCTATTTACCAGTAATTGCTCGATACGTAAAGAACCGTGTCTTACAAATGTTCAAGTATTTGTCGAAATTCAACTACCACGAAGAGAGGGATTTGTGGTGAATTACCCACAGCGTAACGTATCAAATCCTTCTCCCAGATCAACATCGATTTATCAAGCAACGGACTGAACCCCCTCAGTCTCAAGATGGCATCTCGGTTCACGCAAGCTGAGCTCTGTGGGCTGTACCATCTGGCGGGGATTTATTCTTCACAGCGTCTTAACTCGATAACTGCTTCATAAGATCCATAGACTCTTTAACCTTCGAATCCAAAAGTCCATCTGGATAATATTTAAACACTAAACAGATTTCGTCGAAATTCGACGAATGCTTATATTTCTTATACATCTGCATTGCGTGAAATATAAAGGTTTGATTATTCGATACGATGAATATTATAGGGAGGAAATTATTATTTCTAAATTAAACATCTCACTAGAACTCAAACCCAGGACTTTTTTGGGGGGAGGGGTTCCAAACCTTGTTCCTGTAATCTTCCGGCCGATAAAACCAATTTTGTTCCTAGTTTCGCCATTTTTTCGTGCTTAGTTACCAAATATCTTTACCGGGATTCGAACAAAGGACAGAATTTTGAGATTATGGCCTGTATCATTTAATCAAATTATAAAATAATTAGTAGAAATAAATATTAAATATATGAGCAGAAAGAGGTCGTGGCCTAATTTAAGGAACTATAACGGAATTTGCGTGGAGGGACTGAGGAAAACCACAAAACTCACGCCAGGAAAGCTGCTCTTCAAAATTTAACCGCAAAACCTCCCGAATACGAAGCAGAAATTACAACCATCCACTAGCAAGATTCGGTAAATTAGGTATCAACTGATTATAGCCACCAAAATAAAAAACTTAAAAGTCACAAAAAACGTACAACGTTGCAACACGAAAAACGTAGCCCAGACGATTGAAGACAGATCAGAACTCGTAGTGCAGCAAACCTAGCTACGCGATATTCGTGACCTTGATACTTCCAATCTGCTGACAGCTACTATAAATCAAACTCCAAGGAAAAGAGTCTTTGAGAAGCTGATATGAGCTCAAGTATTAAAAAAAAAATTCCCCGCCATCATGAAATACGAAGATTCATAACAATGTTCACAAGAACCCGCCAACTACCAATAAAATGTATTAAATTAAAAATAACATGTGAAACGTAAATCACTACGCAACTTTACATCAGTTCCTCTAATGCAGAGATTCCCAAAGTGTGGGGCGCGAGTGGTTTTTCGGAGGGGGTGGCGTGTTGTTAGTAAGAAAAACTTTTTTTTAACGAAATATGGAGAAACATTTCTAACATCCTTCGCTTCATTGAGGCAGTTCAGCAGTGGCAGCCATCAAAACCAAGTATCGTCCTAATATGAACCTGGAAAACGACCTTAGAGCGGTCATTTCAAAACTCCAACCTCGGTATGATAAATTATGTTCACAGAAGCAACCACATCCATCCCACTAATCCATGTATGAAGCGTATATTTTATTACAGTTTTTTTAAATTAAACGCATTGAATAATATATACAAAATTATAAAAAAAAATGTATACTCATAGCTAAATTTTAT